AAAAAAAATCTGTAGATTGAAAGTGATTCTGCAGAGCGGTTGGCCTGGATGAGCTCTTCGGTCAGATCATGGCTGACCTCCAGCTCAGCGATTTCAATTCCAACCGCTTCATTTCCCCCCTCCGAATTAGGCGGGGGTTCTCGCTCCTCTGGCTCTGTGGGTTTATCGCCAGCGAAGGTGAAGAATCCGTCATCGGCGGGTTTAAGCATTCGCAGGGTAAACTGATCCTCCTTCTTGTTCTTGACCGTCTTCAGGTCTTCCAGCTTGCGAGACAACGCATCTGCCGCCACATTGTCCTTGCCTGGTCGGTAAGTCATTCGAAATTGGTATTCTGACAGGGTTTCCGACCATCGCACCTGTCTGCCGTTGAGAACCCTCTTTGTGTTGAAATATTCAAGTGCTTGGTGATCCGTGAAAATTGTGAATGGTTTGGTTCCCTTGAGTTCTGGTTGCCATTGCTCGATACCCTTCATCACGGCCATCAGCTCTTTATCATGAACAGGGTAGTTGAACTCGGCCGAGTTCATAGTTTCTGAGTAGAACGCCACCGGGTGCCATTCGCCGTCCTCTTGAAGTTGGCTCATCAATCCACCACTGGCGTCTGTCTCGATTCGTGTCTCCCTTTCGTAGTCGAAATAACAAAGTACCGGCCCGCTGAGAAGATTCTCTTCAGTGTATCAAAGGCTTCTTCGCAACGGTCATTCCACTTGAAGGCCAAATCTTTCTTTGTCAAGTTTGTCAGAGGCTTAGCTATTCTGCTGAAATCCTTGATGAACTTCCGGTAGAAATTGCAGAAACCCAGGAATTCTTGCACACTTTTCACCGTGTTGGGCACCTTCCATTCCTTCACCGCTGCCACCTTCTCCGGATCCACGGAGATACCATCGGTGCCAATGATGAAGCCCAAGAACTTGGTCTTGGTTACACTGAACGCGCACTTCTTGATATCGGCTTGCAGCCCAGCTTCTTCGAGGCGTCGTAGCACCATGTCGACGTGTTTATCATGATCCTCCTGGTCATTGGAATAGATCAAGATATCGTCGATGTAGGCGCTGCAGAAGTTATCGAGGTAGCCCATCAAGACTTCATTGATGAACCTTTGGAAGGACGACGGTCCTCCCGTCAGGCCGAATGGTAACACCTTGTATTTGTAAGCTCCGTACCTCGTACGGAACGTTGTTAAGTCTTCGTGATCCGGATGCATTCGGATACGGTGGAACGCTTGTCGAATATCTACCTTCGTGAAGACCTTGGCTTGGCTAATGCAGGCCAGTGTCTCATCGATGAGTGGAAGGGGGTATCGGTCCTTCTTCGACAATGCGTTGAGTTTATGGTAATCCACGCAGAAACGCAGACCTCCATTGCCTTTGGGAACAAACAGAATAGGGGCTACCCACGGGGCTGAGCTTGCTTTAATGAAACCCTTTTGAAGGTTTTCAGTAATGTATTGACGACATTCCTCTAGCTCCTCCAGAGTCATCTTGTATAACGAGTTGTATCCGAGATCCTGGGGACTTTTTCCTTCCTCAAGCTCAATCTTGTGGTTGATCTTTTCTTTAAGCTCTGGGAGGGTATCTGAGTCTTTCTTGCTGAAAACGTTGATGCGATCCCATTGTTTCTTCGGCAACTTCTCCATCACCAGTTGCCGGTGTCCCTCTTCATCTTCTGGTAGCAGATCGGCTCCCGTTTGCATCGCCTCGATGATGCCGTTGATCTCACAGAGACTGGTTTCCTCAATGGTCTCTCCTCGCTTGGCGTAGAAATTCATGGCCACTGCTCCCACCAAGTCATAATCCCGTGGGCGTTGTTTGGTCCAACCGAATGCGCGCTCTATGCGGTACGGACTGGGCATCGCGATATGGGGTAGAGATCTTTGCTTTGCCTGTACGAGTTTCGTGCGAATTCCATCTCCATGAGCTCCGCTGTCGAGGTATGCTCATACTTGATTCCATCAAGGAGTTCCTATTCCATTTTGTTGATGTCTGTCAACGCCAGAGGGTCTCCTCGGTCGCGGTGTTTGGCCGTGTAGATACCTTTTGGTTTCCAACTGGCATCTGGGACTCCTTTGGGGGTCTCAGTACACTTCCTTCCGTGGATCTCCTCCTTTGTAGCCGGTGGGGGTTCCTGCTTTCTTTGTTTCTCCAACTTATCGATTGTCTCCTTCACTGCCTTGGCGTTAGCCGTGAATTCCTCCTTTTCTTTTCTTCTTCATTCTTTTTTCTTGCATCCTCCGTTTTGGCCTGCAGTTCCATAATAGCGACATCCAATTCCCTGGCCTCTGCCTCCGCTTCTTGCTCTTCCCGGGGGGTACGGACCTAGGACAAGGCGCTGTCCACCCGTCTTTTGTCTTTCATAGCCATAAGACGCTCCCTGTGCCTTACATCTTCCTGGAAAGAGGGGTGTTGAGGTAGTTTGGGTCATTTACTGACCTCGATGTCCTTGTCCAGTGGTGCTTTCAAGAGACCCTCTGGAAAGATTAGCTGATTGTTGCTACAGTTGGGTAAGACTTTGTTCTCTCCCAGCCACATCTTTTCCAAGATCATGTCTTTTGTCATTGTCGGTAGAACTACCATCCATTGATCGGGGAACTTGTAGCCTTGTACCCGAAGGGCAGCCATCATGGCCTGGGAAATAATGTCGGGCTCAATGTTTTTGTAAGGTCATACGTATCCTGGCGGAAAGTCGGTCTTACTATCAAGTTTTAAGTGCTTGGTTAGTTTGTCAGCGAATTTTTGACTTATGAGAATGTAAGCATCTGCTCCCATGTCGATAAGTGCGTCGAAGGTGGTGATAGACAATCCATTGTGAGCTACGCTACATTTAACGGTAAAGGTAGGGCTCTTTCCCAAATAGTCTCGAAGATCAAACTTGTCTGTATCATCCTTTTTTTCCTGTCAACATGCATATTGACACCTCACCCAGACGGGAGATTGGTTTCTCCGGGCGTTTCAGTTTTCCGAATCTGTATCTTTCTCAACGACAGTCTCGGTCTCGTGGCCACCGTCGTCGTCGTCGCTAAGCTCTATCTCTTCGTCAGGGAGCTGGGCGCGCATGGCATGGATCTTGGCATCGTGCGCTTTGAAGAGTTTCTCGCGGCGAGGACAGGTAACCAGGTTCGCGGCAAATGAAGCACTTTCCCTCCTGTTGTAGCTTGCGGGTCTCCTCCTCAGAGGGTTTCTTGTAAAGAAACGAGGATCCCGGCAAGCGGTTGCGAGAGGGACCAAAAGTGGCGTCCTTGGATGGCCTCTTGAAATCACCGAGGGCCTTGCCAGCGAATGCCTTCTTGCCCTTGTCATCAGGTTGATCCGTATGAAAGCTTTCATCAAGGCCTTGAAGAAGTTTGATACAGGCGTCATAAGTGCAGTTAGTGCGGTAGCTGGCTTCAGCGCAGTTGCGAAGCCGGGTAGTGATCTTGCGGCGGAGTTCAGACTTCTACTGAGAATCGGGAATACCACAATGGCCAGCCAAGCGAGTGAAGGCCACCTTGAAGTCGCGGAAGCGATCAGAGTGACGCATTACCAAGTTCTCGTACTCTCCGCGGGCCTTTTCGTCAGCGTTGAAGTCGTGGTAGCTCAGCCACAGATGGTTCATCAGATCCTCGACAGTGTCAATGCGTGACTTGCCAGCATCAGGACGAATGAAGGGGTAGATATTTCTTGACGCTTGTCCAGAGAGCCTGGAGACAACTTCTCCAAAGGCAGCTTCGTCATCAGCGAAGTGATCAGCATTTGTGCGAAGACGGTTGGTCATCTGAAAGTACCACATATCGAATTCGAGCTTGTCATCATTGCTGCTAGAGAAAGTAGGGACATCCACCTTAGCTGTCTTGACACGACGACGACTGCCTTTGAAAGAGACAGCGCTGAAGGGGGTGCTGCTCTTGTCGCGACGGCTACGATCGTCATCACGAGGGATGCGATGCGGGTCACGAGGGGGGTCGCGGTCGTCGTCATCATCGGTTGGGTCTTCATCGTCATCATCGCCATCTGGGTCGCCACTACCAGCACCGAAGTGATAAGAGGCAGGTTTCGACGGGGGTCGGCGATGGTCCTCGCTGGGAGTCTTTGACGAGCGGCGGTCGGGGGTCTTGCCGTTCTTGTGGTGAGTAACGTTAGTCAAAGGGATGATGCTAGGGGAGCGCTCGATAAACTCGTGAAACGTGACTTTTTCCTCCTGCTTGGACTTAGCGGTTTTGGAATGCTTAGTGGGCTCGGTAGTATCCAGCTCCTTTTCTCCCATGTTGGCGACATCCAACAGGCGTCTAAGGCTGTCAATCTGGGCCTGCAAATGGGAGACCTTGAGAACGTGTTGTTCCTGAATGACCTTAAGGTCCTCGATGTGGTCCTTCTTGACATCCTCTATCTGGTTGCGGGTACGAGCTTCCACAGCCAATATTGCTGTCTCGGTCGCCTTGGTGATCATGTCGATGGCTTTGTCGGTCTTTTTGCTTTGCTCAGTGTACTCGCGACGGTGGTCGTTGTTTTTGGCTTGAAGATCTTGCACTTTCTTGCTCAAATCGTCTCTGTCCGCGTCGGCTGTCGTCAACTTTTGCTTCAGATTGATCAGTTGATTGGTCAGTTCCAACTCGTCGTCACCAGCACCCGAGCGATTGTCCACGTTGACCTGGTAATCTTTGGCCTTCTGGGCGAAATACATAACCCACTCGTCCATTTTGACCATAGTCTCGCAGGTATGGCGAAGCGCGTGCGCCACATCCTTAACGATACCGACAAAGGCTTCCAACGCGTAGGTTATGGTGGTGATCTCTCCCCACATGGCCTCAGGGTCTTCGTCCAGCAGGGTCAGAAACTCCTGGAAGGTTAGGGGACCATTCCAGTCTTTGATAGCCAATGACGACTGACCCGATGGGGTGAAAGTTGATAACGCGGTTGCCTTTGTTATCTTTGTTGTCACCGCTGATAAGGTCGGCACGGTTGGTGCCGTCCGCAATGATCTCGTTTGCCTTCAACGCGTAGTGGCGCACCTCCACCAACGGGTGAAGGTTGTCCATGTAAAGGGCAAGGTTGCCAGCCAAGTCCTGTCGGGGTTGCTGGTTCTCACCCATCAGGTGGGCAACTGAGGGGGGTGGGGACTTGGCTGCCAAATTAACCATCTTGTCGTTCAGCTCCCGGGCGCTGATAGAGATGCGGCGCACCTGGAAGTTCTGAGTGGTGCTGCTGTCGCGGCGAACATCAGAGATACGATCGAGACCGCCATGGCTCAGACGAATGCGGCGATGGGCAACCTCGTTAGTGGTATGCCACTTATGAGGGGGCACGTATCTGCGGACCGTGTTGGGACTAGGGTCAGCAGGGTTGTTCGCGCTGGGATTCAAGGGCGAGCTGACCTTGGGGATAAACTTTATGCCGCGCTTGACACGTTTGGCGAACACTGAAGGGGTCTCCTTCGACGTGTCGAAGAGGAGTGACTCTCCTTGAGGAGGTTGTTTGTTGAGGGTATGGCGCTTCTTGGAGGGGGTGGACGTGTCCACAACCGACTCCTCAAACGACTCGTCGTTGGCTCCAGTGCGGAAAGAGGCGTCATCATCCTCGTCTTCCCAGTTGGGATCTCCTTCAACATCGTCTTGTTTCTCCAAGGAGGTATCGGTGTTGTTGTGATCATTATCAGCGTGATCAGCGGTATGGGGGTGTTCGGGGTTGTGTTGTTGGTTGTTGTCGGGGACGAGAGGACGGCACAGAGGCGCGCCCTGGTTGGGATCAGCCATAATGGTTGGCTCTCGTCGTGATGGGTAGGGTAATCGGGTTCAAGTTCGTGATGTCGGCGAGGCGACAAAGTTCGGGGTTCAGAAGTCGACGAGGCGACTTGTTGGGTTCCTGGTTCAAGTTGGGATATTGTAATGCCTTCCCAGACGGATGTGGATGAGCTTTAGTTAAGTGTTACGATGCACCAGCTCACGTAGTTCCGTATCGCGTAGTTGGGTACAAATGAATAAATGACTAAAGCTAAAGAAGAAAAGAGGGAGAGATTGAGAGCTGGGCTCTAGAGTGCATCCTTATGGGATGAGCCCAGATTCTGCGAGCCTCTACCGCCTTCCTTATCTAATCTAATAATATGTCAGAGTTGCGGGATCCATATCGTCACAGGACACAAAGCAAAGGGACAGAACGATGGGTAGGGGCACGGTGTTATATAATGATCAGAGAGAGATGATGCAGAGAGATTTGGTTGTTAGGAACTTTGGCACTAGATGTAAACGTACTTCTGAGCTTGTGCTTGCCCCCATCTCCAAAACACGCGGCAGGGCCCTCATCAAGCGTCTTGCTCAAACGGATGACAAACTAAGTTCCTTAAAATGATCCGTATGTGGAAATTCATTGATGGAGAATAATATATATAAGCAAAACAGAGGATCATGGACTTCTCAAACAGGTGACAGCTTGCACTGGCAATGAAATGTCACAGTTTGTCTCTCGCATGGAGTTCAAATTGGTTGGGTTGATGTGGCGACAACAAAGAATGCAAAAACACTAGGTCACTTCATAATATCGACAAACAGAGAAACAAAGACACCCAAACTCCGCGCTGAATAATTGCTATAACAACGTCTAAAAGACCAAAAGAAAGCTGCCAAACTGGTGTCTCGCTTGATGATCGTTATGAGATAGCAAAGGAAACACAGGAAATCGCTTATCGCACTTGCTTGATGGGCTAGCACTTGTTGGCTTTGCCGTAGACTTCTATCCGCAAATGCTGCCCTCCGATATGAAAACTTGGTCGGTTGGTCGCTTGTTGAGCGCTCCTGTCCGCTTGGGATGTGGGAACGCCGACTGTTGCTGATGATAGATGGCTGGTCTTGTGTCGAAAAATGGAGAACAAACTGTTGACGCGGAGACCTGCGATTGAGGAAGAGATGACAAGGGTAGATGCAAGGTAAAAGCTAAATGTGGATGTGAAGAAGGGAAGAGTGAAAGGGTGAAACGAGGCAAAATAGGTCGAGGAGACGAAACGAAAAGGGAAGTTTTCGCTGCCTTGATGAGGTAGGGTGCCGAAATTCAAGCCGGAGACGATGCAGAAAAGAGAAAGCTGAAGAAGAATAACGAAAAAAAAATGCCGAGAAAGATGCTGAAAGTGGTTACCGAATGATGTTGACAGTCGGGTATACTGACACAGATGCCGACCATGATGTTGACAGTCGGGTATACTGACACAGATGCCGACCATGATGTTGACAGTCGGGTATACCGACACAGATGCCGACATGATGTTGATGGTGGCAGAGAAGCTTGAAAGAAGTCTGCTCCAAGTGACGGAATAACGGAATGGGGGCAGCTTGGTTAGACCGTTCGAGGACGGGATACCTCATGAGGAGGGCGCGGCAGCGGCATCAGTCCCTTGCTCCTTGAGTCGCAACTCATCCTTCGTCAAGGACCAGTACTCCTCCGAAACATACTTTTCTCCGAGGCTTTCGTCGACGTGCTTACGTTGCTCGGCTGGGGTTTCCATTTTCTTCAGGTACCCAAACTCTTTTTCTTCCCAGACCACATAAATGTGGCCCTGCAGCACAAGCTGGTACCTGTTGTATCCCATCCAGACGGTAAAATGGGAGTCCGCTTCTTCTTGTGCGTTTCCCCACGTCCCGGTTGTCTAATCGTAAACTGCGACGGGTTTTCCGTCTTTGTAGACATTTCGCGTCTCATGCGCGAGCTGGCGGATGACCACAAAGGTCAAGCCAAGTCGGTCCGCTTCCGCTCGGCATATCTCCTCGTGATTCTGACGGGGACACCTACATTATCGTAGCAGTCGTCCTCCGACTTAGTTGGGTCTACAACCCATGTGATCTTGATCTGCCTCTTGGGGTAGATACTATTGATCATACGGGCCTTCCACTCTAGATCGTCCATCGTGAGCTGTTTTCTCCTCTTCCTGTTAATCCTGAGCAGCTTCTTTTCCAGAAGACTGTGCAGGGTGACTGAATTGGTGGGGAGTTGGTGGATCTTGTGGTCATACCCGGGGATGGCGGTCTGAATATGGAGGTAGACATGGCGATGTGTGTCGTAGACGGTATGACTGCTTTTGGATAATGTGATTTTCCCGGGTGATGATGATGATGATGATGATGATGGAGAGAAAAGGTCAGGAGTGCATGGAAAGTCGTCCATTTTATTAGCGATCTTCCACAAGATAAAACAATTCCACCGTGGGAACCTTAGATGATGTTTGAAGTGTGAGCAGTTACGAAGCATACGTGAAGGGTCGTCGTAGGTCGATGGCCAAACCTTGGGCTGGACATGCTGTTGTAATCATGGCCAGGGCAGCTCTGCATGTACCCATCTGAAAGTTCGCAAGCGACCACAGAGAGGTTTCAGGGACAAGTGAAGAGGACGGTAGAAAAGGCCAATGTGAAGGGAGAAGATATATCTAAGGTTCGTGGTTGGATGAAGATGATCAGGCCTACCACTCGACCACTTCACCACCTCAGGCAAGTGATTGTATACTGCGGCCCAACCGCCCTTCCACCAGCACTCGACAGTTTTGGCTGCTTTCCATTCTGTCAATTCGCATGTGATGTCGATTCATATAGCGAACCTGTGTGGTTCGTGCTCCACAAGGGTTGCGATTGCTGTCGTTTCGTTTGCAGTGTTCCTTGAGATGCGCAACAGGGACAAAGAAGGTGCGGTGCGGAACCTGTGTTGATAAACACCAGCGCCTTCCACTTTTTTCCATCTTCCCTTCACCACACCTTCCATTCACTTTCCATTCACTTCAGTATTGGCCCACACTACGCTAACAGCTTCCACTCCCAATTCTAAACCCGAGCGCCCTAACTCTCCCCTGAACATGGGCCATGACCTCTGAACATCCTTCAATCATCCACCGCGAGCGACACGTCATTTGCGACCTGAACTGCCCATTCCTCGGCGGTTAAAAGGGCGAGCGTTCTCACTTCTTGCCGAAGTAGGTCCAATTACTCATTTCTTCTTCCATTCTCAATCGTCGCTAACCTCCAGCTCGGCCATCTGCCACCGCGACACCAGAACCACATCCTAACGACATCCACGAGCGAAGCATACGACACACAAGCACATACCTTCCGTCGAGATGTTCTACCCTGACAACGAACGTTTTCCTTACGAGCTCGAAGATCCCATCGATGACTCGGATACTGAGAATCCCAGATGTTACCAAAAAGGCGGATTCCACCCCATCCTTCTCGGAGACCGACTCGGTCCTAGGTCCAACGGCCGCTTCCGTGTCGTCAACAAGCTCGGCGCCGGCGGGTACGGCACCGTCTGGCTGTGTCAAGACACCCACTACAAGCCTAGCACCATCACCAAGTGGCGCGTTGTCAAACTCATTGCCGCCAAGAAGTCCACACCCAACTGTCCCGATCTCAAAATCCTCGACTATTTCCGTGACGTCGCCCGATCTACCCTCGACGACTTTGGCATCTGCCTCCCGCTTGAACATTTTTGGCTGACCGGCCCCAACGGCCGCCATCTAGCCCTCGTATTTCCTTGGCATGGCTGTACGCTCGGGACCATTCCCGACTACTACGGCTTCCATCCGGCCCTGATCAAAGACATGGCCTTTGAGCTGGTCGAATCTCTACGCTTCCTGCACTTGCGCGGCCTTTGTCACGGCGACTTTCGGCCCTCTAACGTCCTCCTTCGCCTACTGCCCGGAGCCGACGAGATGCCCGAGTCTCAGCTTGAGGAAGTCCTGTCCGAGCCGTATAAAGCTCGTGTCATTCGCATCTCTGACGGCAAATTTCTTGACGAACTTCCCTCTACCGAGCGACCTGCCAACATACCCGAGTACATGGTTGCCCCCGCCACGGTCCCAATTGCGTGGGGTCTTCACACCCGCCACCCGGTACTCATCGACCTCGGCGTCTCCTTTCCCTTCTCGCAACCACCCAAGCAAGGAACGACGGGAATCCCCATCTCCTTCGCTGCTCCCGAAGACATCTTCCGAACCTTTGACAACAACTCCCGGCGGCCCCTTCTCGGTCCGGCCGCCGACATCTGGTCTCTAGCTTGTACCCTCGCCCACCTCCGTGTCGCGCGCAACCCCTTCCAAGTTGACCAGGCCGACCTTTCCTCGGTCGTGGCCCAGTGGGAGGAATGTCTCTCGCCACTTCCGGAGCCCTACCGCTCCAAGTATCGTGAGATTGAGGACATCGAAACGCCGCTGGACGAAGTGTGGGGCGACACACCCGCAATCCAGCTTGATCCTGTCGTCGATCCTAAAGCCGTGTACGAGGGTCGGGCAGAACGTAGGCTTGCTACGTCCGGAACGCGGAACTGGCTCAAGGCACGCATGATGCGAATGAGGCGATTGGAGGTGTACCCGGAGGCTGCGAAGAAGATGCTGAAGGAGGAAATGCAGTCAGACGCAAAGGTCAAGGAGAGACTGCCTTTCCTTGAGGACATGGAAGTGCCGAATGTCTCTAAGGAGGGGATGGAAGTGACGATGGAGAAGGAGGAGATTGAGTTGTTCTGGTCACTCCTGGAGGGATGTTGGAGGTGGAAACCGGAGGAGAGGGTGAGCATCGAGGAGGTGGTGAGACATCCCTGGTTTGAGGGACGGGGGCCGAGAGAGATTCCGAAGCCGGCTCCGTGGATGGTGGTGGTCAGGACGATGTGGTCCTTCTGGGATTATGTCAAGTCTGTTTCCCGTGGCCGGGTTCATTGCGTCAGGGAGCAAGAGTGGTCACTTATCGTCATGGGCAGATTGCCTCCTGTTGTTGCGGCGGCTTGCAGAAGGATTGGCAAGTTCTTTTTCGCGCTATTTGGCTCGCTCACCCCATCTGCCTTGCGCAAGAAGCTTGTTTGGGATCCGAAGATGTTCTCCTCCAATCCTCCAGGCACACCGAGGCAGGCCACAGAAGACGCGGCCGATTGGGAAACGTGGTGAGAGGTGGATGAGATCCGGTTGAGTGGGAGAACATGAACAGATTGGATAAATGGTTTGGAAAGAAGAGAAACACAATGAGAGAAACAAGACAGGTTGGGCAGTGTAATCTTGACCAAATGTAGGATATGCAGATGACATTGCAGATGACGATGCAGATTGGCCTTGATGCCAAGTGTTTTCCAAAACTCAGCCATCGTGACCGTGCATATGTGCTTTACGAATGCTGACTTCTCAATGATTGCCGGTCTATGAATCAGGCCCTGCGTCTAAACTTCGTGATCGTAACCTGAATCCTCACCATCAGTTTCCAGACCACTAAGGTAACCTCTGAATAGCTTCATACATACTCTGATCTCTTCATCCCAGCGCGCTATCATTGAGTTTACTCACCTCCTTCCCCACCGTACTATCCGCATGCGTACTTGTAGACAAACCTATATGCAGACACCAACCGAATCAACTTGTTAAAAGTAAGAAGACTCCACAAACAAAGAGATGCCAACATCTGAACAACCGACGGTATATTCAATATTGGGCGCAGTAGTTGCATTGGCATGTCATACGATTCAATCCTCGCACTCGTGGAACGCACGCTGTCAACTTTTGTTCTTTCCCATTAATGCGAAGGCACGGTAGGAAGAACCTCACGATCTTTCATTTTTCGAAAGCCCCCGGCCGGGAATCGACCCCGCACCCATCTGGCTGGGGGCCCATGGCGGGAGATGCGCAGAGCTGTGTGGGCAGCGGTGCTACTGACTGCACCAAGTCACCAGGGTCGAACTGGTCGTTGGCTGGTTGTTGGAAGGAGGGACAGGACGGGGCCTTATATGCCTATGTGGGAGTAAGATGGAAGGAGCGGCGGCTTGGAAGGTACCTGTGGGTGTGGGTGTGAGGCATGGAATGGAAGGTGCCGCTGCTGGCTGCGCGGGTGGGAGAGGAAGGTCGGCAGTTGGGCAGGCGCCCCGGCAAGCGAGGTCAGGCAGGCAGACGCACGCAGCTGCTGCCGGGACCGACCGCGACTGCATAAGGTACCAGCGGCATCAAGCCAGATTTCCCATCTGACATGTTTCTCACAAGTCTCTCTCCAGTACCTGCGCTGACTCCTGGCATAGCGGCTTGCCGTCGCAGACATGGACCCACTGAACGTCCACCAACAGCTTGCCTCGATGTCGACGACGGCTCCCGCGGCCACTTCATCCATATCCCCGATTGACACTCCGTCTCCCCTCAACAATTAGGAGGCCGTTCCCAAGCCCATTCGAACTTCCGCGTTCGGAAACAACAGTTCACAAGTCACGACAGCCCAGTCGGGTCAACTGAGAAGCTCCCGCGCCCGTCTCTACGTACTGAGGTGCTCTAGCTTGACACCCGGCTGCTCACGGTATGGCTTGCTTGCGGTCGGTGCCAAGCTTGTCGTGGGGGTCTTGCTTCTCGCGGGAACCGGTGCATACGACCGCGTGGTCTAGTTTGAGAAGGGACAAACATTGGCGAAATATGGACTTGAACAGGTCGAAGTGGTCGTTGCTTAATTGGGTTGACTGACTGGTGACAAGCCACTTCTCCACGACTTGTGTACAGAAGCCAGGGTAACTGTGCTCGACTGGGCGATCTCAGAGGCAGAGTCCTACAGCAGCTCCCCAATCCAGACGACATGAGGAGATGGTTATGGCCGTGACCCATGAGGACTGTCATATGACAGTCGGCAGGCTCCTGCTTCCTGACCATCCGCTTGGTGTACGGGCTCAGGATTGTATTTTCGCTGCACGTTCCGGTTCTTCATACGGCTGAAGTGCCCACGCTTGTGCCGTCCCAGCCGATGAAAATGTGGCCGTGTATGAGGAGCTCACTCCTGCCTGGGCCTGTCCATCTAGTCGGTGATATGCCAGGGGGCTATCTCTACATTCATTTCCCCAGCGTTGAGTGTCCTGGGCAAAAAAATTCACCGGCATTCCGGTCTCGTAGACGGCGCTCTGGTTGTGGATTCCTTGTCGGATCACCACATAGCAAAGTCCCACCTGATCTGCCTAGGTCCGGAATAGTTCCTCCATCTCGCTTCTCTGAGCGACGACATGAGTAAATTTGAAGGTGGGAAGAAGCTTGAGCAGGAGAAGTCTTCTGCCGGATTTGTTCTCTTGACGACCGTCTCGGTGATTTTGCTCAAGGTCTTTGCGGAGAAAGGGTCGGGTCGGGTGAAGCCGTGAAGGAGATAAGGCAGTCGTCCCCTTTGCCCTTGCCTTTGATGTCCTTCCAAAGTCTCGCCTTTACCTAGAGATTGGCGACACAGCAAAAACAATGGTCGCGCCAAGCTCCCTCTTGGCGAACACCTCCAAGATTCTCTTCTTTCGGGTATTCTTATCCATTTTGATGACGGCGCACCGCCACGGCTACGGATTGTGATCTTGGTCTTTTGTGACCTTTTCAACCCGGTCGATTTGCCGTCTTCATCCTTTTGGATCGGTGTTGGAATGCAATTCTGCAAGGGAAGGCCCTGTTTCTGGAAGATGGTGGATCTTCGGGTAGGGACTCCGGGTATGGTCTGGGTAATTGCATATCTGGACTTTGAGAACATTTTGTCAAGTAGAGGTAGAGTGCAGGTGAGCATGTAAAGCTTGATGATGGCATTCTGCATGCATGCGTCCCGTCCACGCACGCGTTGGAAACCCTGACGACGATTCCCAACTCGTCATGGGCGGTGTTCTGAGTGCTTTGGGGAAGGGCCAGCTCGGACGACGGGCGAAGTCGATGCCGTTGCCCAGACGGCGGACTGGGGGCAATCACGGATTATGATTGCCTGGACCTGAGGTGGCTAAACTGCTCGTAGTGGTTCTTCTTGAAGCAGATGCGCGGGTTCTGGATCCAAACTGATGTTTGGTTCGGATCGGCACTCGAACCCAAACTGGGCTGCAGTGGGTCATGGATCGTTCGAGGCTTGTTGTTATCCTCGTAACCGAAGTCCTTCTTGGCTGGCTAGGACGGTGGACATACCGATCTTGTAGCCGCCGACGCCAGGAGCTACTCTGGCACTACCCGGCGCGGCAGGCCTTGTTGCTTGGCGTATGTCGTGAGCGCCCGCGCAGAGTCTCACGGTACGAGTTCGCACCAGGGACTGGACCTTTCCGCTTTTAAGCGTCGATCGGGGTCAGGTGTCTTCGGCAATTGTAAAAATTGTCGATGGATAATCCTATTGCGGAGTTAGACGGGCTGGAGTTCTCAAGGTCGAGCGAGGTTGGCTTGCATTCCATACATACTTGTCTGAGTCTTGGAAGAGATGTAATGGCAGCTACCTCTGTGTGCATTCAAATCGTATTCAACTGAGTGGCGACTGTTTGTGATTGGTCTTCGGCAAATGAGTGGTGGCTCATTACTATCGAAGGGGATGGTGAGCATTGCCTTGATGGTTTTCGGCTGTTGTAGAGATGGGAATTCGAGAAAATACGGGGGTACCAGTGCAAGGAATATATATAATATATATCTGGAAATACCGTAATCCAGCTCAACGCCTTGCAAAAGCCTTGGGTGTCAAATAAGTCCGTGGTCCTGTCACATCCCTTTGCAAAGCCGTTTGTGAATACAGAGATGCATCACTCCAGCTGTAGGCACCTATAGTCCACTCATTTCGCGGGACGTTGGTTGAAGAGATGGGACTGCGGAGCGACGGACAACTGAGTGTGAAGTGGCCAAGTTACCATCAATATATGGATACTTTCCTGCTTATTGATGTCCGGCGAAGGATATTTGCGTGTGTTTGCATTTTCGTCTCTGGTGTGCGTGAAACATTGTTGTTGGGCTACTTACTCCCTTGCCCGGTCATCCGCTGATTTCCAATACCAAACCCAAAGCTGTTAGTCGCTGTTTCCTTTACCAAACGCTCATGCTTGGGGCATCACTTACATGGAAGATTGTTGGGTACAGCTGGTCAATCTGACGATAAGTTGTCAAACACCAAAGCGTTTCCATGATGAAGCAATGCTTGCTAGGAGAAGGCCGGTGCATGGAAGCATACCTCTGCTTGCGAACATCCGAACTCGTTGTGGATGACGGGGTATGAGCAAACGGGAAATTGTTTTCATTCCTTCTGAATGGGTTTACTATCGTTTGGCATGGGCTTTCACGTCGATGTTAACGCCGCAAATGTCATGATGTGTGTGCGCTTGGGCTGCTGTTGTTGGTGCCTTTGCGTGGAGTTGTTGTATGGGTGATTTGTGGTTCTGCCTCCATTCTGTGATTCCGGAAAACAAATCAGAAGCTGGAGACCCCTTGAATTGGTTTAGTTGAGCCATGACAGCACTTTACTAAAGATGGGACGGGATGAAAGACAAAAGTCACAACACAGTGAAAAGCCTTCGGCGCTGTGCAGCAGACTGGCTTATGATGGATGGAAGTATTGTCCGATATGATGTGGCATTGTACGGACACATACGAGCATAACATAAAGCAAGTAGAGTATGTACGGGTACGGTGTGGTACATTCACCGGCGACATTCATCAG